ATTTATACTGTACAAACTTTGTATTCTACCCCCTACACTAACACAGATACATTTCTGCATTTTCAAAAAACATCACTTCACAAAAAATAAAAAAAATAAAAAAAATCCCAACAAGGATTTTCGATATGGGCATCTTTATGGGGATTTTTTGATCCTATAATGTAGGGTTACACACACACACAATCTCTCTCCCTCTCTTTTACACTATCTCTCTCTTTCTTAAACACACACACACACACACAAATCTCTCTCTCTAATACACACACACACACTCTCTCTCTCTCGCTCTCAAACAGACACACTCTTGATTATGTTTGCCACTTATCCCACGATTGTCTCACAGTATATTGTAAAAAAAAAAAAAACGTCTCTATTTGATGCAATTTGCCCTGTGTTCTTGAGCAGACAAATGTTGATTTGTCCCTCACTTTCTGCATCTAGGTTTCCTAATTCCTTCGGATGAGTTTTGCCGCTTCGCACCACCAAATGCAACAGCCTTTCAAAAGTTAAAAAGAAAACACAAAGCTGATCAGTTTAGCGATGTTCAGTAGGCGGGACTCAGATCTGTTAAACATTCATGTTATGTCCCTTTTCTGAACAATGACAGGTCAGAATGAAAACAAGCCGAAATGAACTAGGAGTAACGTCTCGGATACGTATGTAACCCTCATTCCCTGAGTAGGGAACAGACACGTTACGTCGGATGACGAGAATGGGGTTTCGCTTAGAAAGCCAATTATCTTTGAGTATTATAAAACGAGCCGAAATGCCATGGGTCTGCAGAATTAGCATAGCGTATCTCCGCCCCAACGCGTGGGTATGTAAGGAGAGCGCGGACAAAAAGGCAACATGTCTTCGCTGAGGAGCCGAGACTGAACTCAGGCGTCTACCCAGCGGTACAGCGGAAGTGGCAGGGAGACGTAACGTATCTGTTCCCTACTCAGGGAAAGAGGGTTAAATAAATAACCAAGACAGTCCCTTTCGTAGTCACGTCGCAACCCCTGTTAGGTACATCGGATGATGAGAATGGGGTCTCCGTGTAATCACGCCGCCTTCACAGCTATCTTCCAGTGCCCTGCGAAGTCTGATCCCCTTGTCGTGATATTGCCACGGATGAAAGAGTCCTACTTAACACAGGAATACCAAGGTACACTGGGGAGCATATCTCAGAGGAAATATGCCGCAGCATGGGAGGGAGGACTTAGGAATACACATATGGCCCAAGGGGGCTTCATATGGAGGAACACTGGGATGACCAGCCCATGGGGTGGCAACTTTCAACTCCAGGAGTGGCAAGGTGGCTTGCCAAGGGAAAGACACATGCTCAAGGAGGCTTACAGTGGAAATACACATGTGGGGGTTACTCAGGGGAGGAACCATGCACACAGAGGCACCTAGCCAACGCACAGGCAATAGACACTAGCGCCAGCGTCAACAGTGCTGGAGGAACTCAGGGCTTCAGAGAGGAAGACTCAGCTGAGGAATATATCGCATGTCTCCAGTCCGTGGATTGGAATGGCAAGCAAGCAAAGACACATGAGCGGGTCCAGTACCAGCGAGGCGCCATGCACTAGAGCCCAAGAGGAAGCCACACTCCGGGTGGAGTGCGCTGTCACACCAAGGGGGCACGGTCGGCCTAGCTGTTGGTAAGCCAAAGCAATGGCGTCCACGGTCGGACGATTAATCGGCCGATTTTTGGCATTTTTTAACATAATCGACATCGGCCAATATCCCAGTATATCAAGCCGATTATTAGGCAGGCGCAGCTGTGGGCAGCCTTGTGTTGTTGTGCTTGACGTATGGTTGGGTTGCGGAGAGTTCGGGTTACGGAGAGTTTGTGAGTTATAACGGAAATTATTATGAACATCAGCTATGCTAATTATTTCCCATCTGCCTTTCTGCTGTTATCTCGGGACGCTTGTCCCGAGAAAAATGGCGTTCGTCAGGTCCAGTTTTGTGTCCAGCCTCTCACGGGGATTTCGGATGCCCCAACGCCTGTGATGAGAAGACCAACGCCTGTGAAGAGACGACTCAACGCCTGCGATATGTTATGGCGCCGTTTGATTCATAAACAATATTTATATTTAATATTTATATTTAAACAATATGAATGTAAGCCAGAGGAGAACTGGCCCCCGACTGAGCCTGGGTTCTCCCAAGGTTTTTTCTCCATCCAATCTGATGGAGTTTGGTTCCTTGCCACTGTCGCCTTGCTTTTGGCTTGCTTTGAGCTTGCTCAGTTGGGGTTATTTATTTAGTGTTTAGCAATATTGTTGATCTGTGTTGTGCTACTTACATGTTATCACTGTGAAGCTGCTTTGATACAATCTGTATTGTGAAAAGCGCTATATAAATAAATGTGACTTGACTTGACTTGACGCGCGCTGCCGCTAGAGTCATTTTCCAGCCGAATAAGCAGTAGACCTCATCCAGTGCCTAAGGAGCTAACGGCAATGATTCAGTTCGTATAACTCCTTTATATTTAATAAAAACTTTTGATATCTTAGTGCCAACTTCGAGAAAAAACCTGAATAAGCGACAAGACATTCGGCTACTTTGGATCGTTGTTGAAGTTGCATTACCACAGAAGAGTTGCTATCATGTCACAATAAATAAGCAATAATTTTGCAATTACATAGTGAATCTGAGACTTTTATTTGTTCTGTTTGTGTGTCTTATGTTTGAGAGGATTGTCACTCAATGCAGAGAAATAAGTAATAAAAAAAGAGACCAATGCACTATAGGCTAGCTAGTGAGAGGCTGGCTTTGCTTTGCTAGCGGTTAGCTACAGACAGACCCGGTGCTAATACAGCACTGGAACCTTAAAGGGTTAGTTCACCCAAAAATGAAAATTAAGTCATTAATTACTCACCCCCATGCTGTTCCAACCCCGTAAGACCTTCGTTCATCTTCGGAACACAAATAAAGATATTTTTGATTAAATCTGAGAGCTAGCTCAGTCCTAGATAGACTGCCTAAGTGACTGGCTCTTGACGGCCCATAAAGTCATTAAAGAAAAGGTTTAAATATTCCATGTGCCTACAGCGGCTCAATTATAAGTTTATCAAGCGACGAGACTACTTTTTGTGCGAAAAAAACATAAATAACCACTTTATTCCACTATTCCATTACTTCCTTATGGGCGCATGCGCGAGAACTGAGACGAGGACGTTCTCATTCGTCGTCTACTTGTTACCGGCTGCTCACTGCTTAGGAGTTTTACCGCCACTAAAAAAAGTGGCGGTAAAACCTGTAATACTTTAATGTTTAAATTATTTTCTGTAGAACTTCTCATTCATATATTTATTTCATTTAGCACATTTCTGCTCAGCACTGTTTTACAGTGTTATGTCTGTTTTTAATACCATTATCCACTAAAAAAAATATCAGTTGAATAACCTGTTATCGCTATGTACGGGCAAACCAAAATATCAGTAAAATCCACTATCGGTCGACCTCTACTGTAGTATGAATGTGAAAAATATTGCTGATTGCTTACAAACAGTGTTGTGCAATAAAATTTGTGATTAATCTAGTTATTTTTTGCAATCGATAAAAAGTATTGAGTATTAAATAAATATAATTCATGTTTCTTTTTATTGAACAATATCTGTACAATTAATATGCATTTAGCCTGCCTCTGCCAACCATCACTCCCATAATCCCTCAGTTATTTTCAGGTTATACCAAATGACAATGTGTAAAACAATTACCAAAAACAAATTTTGTTTAGACTGGAGTGAAACCAAAAAAGAAAAAAAGAAAAAACGAAAAAAAGTGCAAAGCAAGTTGTTGTTAGCTAGCCGATATGGTATTGGTCCAAAATTAGACTTATTTAAAATAAACTTTTTAATATTCCTTTTTTTATTCCACTTTTTGAAATGTATTCCATTATATAGCCTACCAAAATAATTATTTAGTCAAGCAAAGATTTTCATCTCACAACCCAGACAGCAAACATTGAATCAACGTGGAAACGACGTCTCTCATGACATTGAAACAACGTTGATTTAGACACGGCGTTCAAAGCTAAATGAAAATCGAAAATTGGTTTGCTTTCATAACGTTGAAACAACGCGTTGATTTCAAGTTGATTTTCCGTTAGTTTTGAAAGAATGACGCGTCTGACGTTGGTTCAACGTTAATTCGATGAGCAAAACAATGTCAGATCAACGTTGTTTCGATGTCATATTTCCACGTTGATTCAATGTCAGTTTGCTATCTGGGAAAGCTGTAAAAATCCAGTGGTAAAAGGGTAAGAAAGGACGACAGTGTCCGTCGGCCCCCACCGAAGAACTTAAACCCAGGAAAAACCCGGAGTGTTGAGAACAATTGACAAAGAAAATGGACAGTGTTATTTTACTTGATACATTATTTGATTATGTCTGAATATAGCTCTACAGTATAGTTATTTGTTTATTACTTTCAATGCAGATTTACTTCTTTAAAAAAATCACCCCAGTCATTCTGGAATGATTCATTCTTTCCAAAAAGAGCTATTCAAGTCATCTGGTGAAATTGTTTTAGCATGGCAATATCGCAGAAAAAAAATATATTTTCCTAATATCATGCAGCCCTAAAGACAATAAACACACACACATACACACACACACACACACACACACACACACACACACACACACACACACACACACACACACCTTCAGATTCACTGTCTTTCAGGCTGAACGATCCATTAGACACATTATTACCATCCTCACTAACAATAACTGCAATTAACATAATACACAGGTCACAGATATGGTTAAAAACATAAAGTAACATCAAAATGAAAGCTAAACCCATATAAAGGAAATGTCCAGACTTAATCCACCATGTGGATATTTCTTTTAAACTCAAAATTTCACTTAATTGTAACGAGGCTTCAGCAAAGTGAGTATCCATCATCCATCGACAGGGTCGACCACCAGCAAACACAACAGTAGAGACAAAGAAACTTGTAATCCGAAAACAGGCATAAACTCAGGCAGCAAACTTACATAAATCAGTCCACAATAGCAAACAGTCCAGGACAGACAGCAAAGAATCAAGAAGAGAATAAACAGTCCAAGAGTAATCCACGGGAAGACAAAACCACAGGAAGAAACGCTCAGAGATGTTCACCAGAGCAACACAAAACATCCCAATGAGGATCTTCTTCTTCTTTTAGTTTAATGGCGGATCGCAAACCAGCATTTATAGGTGCATACCGCCACCTATTGTACAGGAGTGTGAAAAATCAGGGCTTTACATACTTCAGGTCAAAAAAAGAAAAAAGAAAACCCTGAGAACCACACACACACACACACACACACACACACACACACACACACACACACACACATATGGGTGATTCTCTGAATTGGGTGCCCCAAAATTGCCCCAAGTCCCCCAAAATTGCTTCAAAAATTTTCAATTGAAAGAAATCACAAAATGCATTTTAAAGCTGTCAATTAATATAACCAGATGCCTTTGCATAATAATGCAACACAATTGCTTTAATTTTTTTTTTGAAGATAATGGGTTGCCTAAGTAGTAGACAACAAGCATTTTTGCATGTCCTCACTAACCATCATTACATTTTCATTGATTATCAAACAAATAAAAAGTGCAATTAATACCAAAATGTTGCTGCTAATTTAATCATATGTTGGTCTACTTTAACTAAAATATACATATATATATAAAAATAATAATTAATTATGTATGAAAATGCAATATTTATACACATCCTCCAGTTTGTTTTCAACCCCGTTACGCCATAATATTTACACTAAAGTGACACTGAGAGATATTTTGAATCCTCATGAGAACCAATCGAGGATAGTGGAAGCAGTCATGGACTTTATATCTGCAACAGGATTAGCCCTCTGAGAATGATGGTGCCATAAAACGATACCGAGACAGAACAATATGAGGCAGCAATATGCCGTAAGGCATCTAGTCTGCCGGAAAGCCAGAAGAAGAAGATCTTTTCCTACCAATATTTCATGTTTTTTCGCTGTCAGATTAAGATGGTCAGGCTCAACGTTTCAACTCTGTTGTATGACTTAATGATAGGAAACAACAGTTTAAGAAGAATTAAATAATAGTTTTGGAAAACATTAAAATTTTATGATGTTCCAAATGCCATGTGGTGCTACTGTCTTAGCTAAGTAAGGAGCTATAGCTACTATTAGCCAAATAATTCAACCCCGTCACATTTAACCCGTCACATTTTTTAAAATTATAACAGGGTTGAATCATTGTGACAGGGCTGAATGTTCGAAAATTCTTTGTAGATTACTCAATTGTAGACTTCTTGTATTGTGATGTGAACTGTCAGAAATAATCAGTTATGCTATTTTATTTTCAATATTTTCAGATATCACAATGGCAAAAACAGCAGCAGAGAGGCAAAGACAGTACAGAGCAAGAAGGGATGCAGACGCAGAGAGAAGGGAAAAATATCTCAGGAGTGAGCGTGAAAGGTGGAAAAGGGACACAGAGGCAGGGAAAAAGAAAAAAATAAGCAATCTGAGTGATAGAGCTAAACGAAATAAGCAAAAGACATGGAGAGATGCTAAAAAAGACAAAGAAGAGGGAAGCTTTGAAGAATGTCGACACCCCTCCACAAAGTCCTGATAATCAAAATGCAGAGCAACCTACAGTAGATCTGGGTCCTCAAGGTCAGTTGTAAGGAGTTAATTTAGATTAGATGAAGTTGACTAAATTAGTGTGTGTTAGAGAGAGTAAGGGCCCTACTTTAACGATCTGAAACGGAAGTATGAAGCACGAAGCACAAGTAACTTTGTGGCCAGGTCTCGGGCGCTGTTGCTATTTTACCGGCGGGATAGAAAAACTCTTGTGCCCGGCGCAAGTTTAAAAGGGGTTGGTTTGAAGTAGCTTCATTATTCATAGGTGTGGTTTGGGCATAACGGAAATAAACCAATCAGAGCGTCATATCACATTCCCTTTAAGAGCATGATGAACGAGGTGCGCTTGTTTCATGGCGCAATACTATTATAACGGCGCATTTACCAGGCACTTCACAATTAATAATTTGGTTAAATGCGTAAGCTCTATGCTTCCACAACAATGATTTCCCTCGTGTTTTAAGATTTTTTCTTGTATAATAATGTATCATTTGCAAAAAGTGAAATGTATCTGTGTAGATGAGAGAATCTACAGTGTATGCGTGTTGTTTATTATGGTTCAGAATGCACGCTTAAAGGGTTGACTGCGATTTCACTTTTTTTATTTTAAATAGTGTGTAATGTTGCTGTTGGTGCATGAACAGTATCTGCAAAGTTGCAGCGCTGAAAGTTTAGTGTAAGCAGAGTTATCGTCTTTTAAAAATCAGGAAGTATAATTGCCTACAAAAACGACTCGATTGGGACTACACCTGGGTTTTAGACGTCACTAACCCACACATTTGCATCAACCCCTCCCTCAGAATATGCAGAAAAGGGCACGCGCATATTTCTGAGGCACGTCGATTCGTCGAGTGTGTTGTTCATGCAGCTGTCAGGTCTTTTGTGTTCGAGTTTCCCATGGACGCTGTACTTCGTCAACAATGGATGTTTGATTATGTTCCCGAAAATGACGATCGTAATCAAGCTCTCTGTGCTGCGCATTTACGGAAGACAGCTTCCAGAATCTCCACGAGTTCAACACCGGATTCAACAAGAAACTGTTACAAAAACATGAAGCAGTTCCAACTTTAAAACAAGAGGCAGCAGTTGTTGGGCCACAACCTGTAAGTAGGCTAAGACTTCATCATTTTAAATGTATTTGCATGTATAATTCCAGACGTAGCCTTGTGTTTTATTTTTTTCAAATGCCAGCGCTGGCTTAGCCTATGCTATTTTGTGTCTACGACAAACGCGTACAAACATTATGGACCTGAATTTTCTATAAGTACTAATGTTTTAAACGTATTTTTCATGTATATATGCTTTATGACGTTATTTTCGATTTGATCAAGAACGTAAACTTGCCAACGCTGTTTGAGTATAACATTAGTAGCAAGTAAGTTGCTATTGTTGCCAGTCAGATGATATTGTGTAACATAAACGTGTATAAAGTTAAAAAATGTAGCAAATTATCATTCAGAAACGTTTATTAAGAGCCGTGTGTGGTGAGGTTCTGTTTGACTCTCTTCATCGCCGCTTTCTCGGTCTGATTATGCCTGAAACTGATACTGCAGTTCGACACATATTTACATTTGCTCATGACATTTCATGTTTCGCCCGTAAAGGTAATGGGCGTTAACCTTCCGGACAACGTGAGCGACAGTTTAGCCAATCGCAACACACCGGGCCAAACTAACCAATCTGAGCCCATTACATATTTCTGAGGGAGTGTTTTCATAGAATCAGGAAGTGAACCGCTCGTTCAGGGGACAGAGGAGAGCGCGGCTGACAATAAACGTGAAGTTTATGAAAAATAAGACTTTTAAAAAAAGAAAAAACACGAATACATGTTATATTGCACCCCATAAATACAATCATGCAAAGAAAAAAAACAGTCAGCCCCCCCCCCCCCCCCCTTTAAAATAGCATCTGAATGTACGCGCAACGTGCACTGACTTTAGACCATTTTTTTTCTGGTCAGTGGCGCAATTGTTTTCTGGAACTGCAAAATAGCACTAGGGAATGTTTGTGCCGAAACACGCCTTCTTTTTGCGCCGACCCCCCCAGGGAGCACAAGTTCATTCAACTAGTTTAACAGCAGATTGTTTCTACTAGATTAATTAATGCTTAATGATTTTGATTTAATGTTAAATACTTACCAAAACGTTTGTTTTTGCCAACTTTAATAAAATAAAACGTTATTGATGTTATATGTGTTATGTGATGTTATAAATGTTATATTTGATATCATTCATTTTAAAGGTAAGAAATCCATTTGAAATGATCATCACTTCAACCCTGTTATTATTTTCAACCACGTTATGCTGAGTTCAACCCTGTTATTTGATAGTTTTTATGAATATTTTCGTAATAAGAAGACAAATTAGGGTCAATATTTGTTTTGCTGTGTGTAGAATTTACCAGACAGTCGGAAAAAATACGAAAGCCTGATTAAATCCTAATGTTAATGCATATTTTGTGATAAGATATGAAGACCAATGTTAGATAAAGTTTTCATGAGTCGATTTGGTATTCAAATGGTGAGTTTCTAAAAATAAAATTCTACATGCAATAAATGATATCAAACAAGGGACATCTCTTTGAAAACCTTCTAAAAGAATTTAATTGAAAATCTTTTTAAATCATATTTAAACAGGGTCCAAGTGGTCTGTTACGGGGTTGAACTTCAAAACAACTTTCAGCAAGAAAAAACACTCAATATCGATTAGAATTTCATGCCTGAGGTGGGAAAATGCATTTTCTTAAAAGTTTGACTAATCCACTATCACATGATGATCAGAAAAATAGAAAAATGATCAGAAATATAACTATTTGAGGTAAAAAAAAAAAGGTATGACCCAAAATGCACCCATCTCAGAGAATCACCCATATATATATATATATATATATATATATTGTGTGTGTGTGTGTGTGTGTGTGTGTGTGAGAGAGAGAGAGAGAGAGAGAGAGAGAGAGAGAGAGAGAGAGAGAGAGAGAGAGAGAGAGAGAGAGAGAGAGAGAGAGACTGTGTGCGTCTGCGGCTGATTATGGATTGCTTGTCAACTGAGTCTTCCTCGGTCAGAAGGAATAGGCAAATCCAATGATGCAGTTTAAGTATTTATTGAGGAGGAGTCAGGTACATGGAGATGATAAGAGTTTGCAGGTATCAATATGACAAAATATGTGTGTATATGTGTGGTTATCTGAAACAGAAAATACAATAAAATGTACATTAACAAACATGTAGGCTATGGTTACATGCAGTTGCATAAAGAAATGAACCGTAGTACAACCAAAAATCTTCCATCTTCAGGTGGAAAGGACATCATGAGGGCTGTAGACTGCCTGTGGTAATGCAGCGTCACGCCGCCCCATTAGCAGCAGTTTTGGCGTGATGGGGTCCGGGTTAGCCACATCAGAGGAAGCATATCCGAGTGGTTTGGAATTAAGGAGCCCTTCAACCTCTATGAGAGCTGTTAGGAGCACTTCCTCTGCTACAACTTGGTCTTTCAGGACATCTTGCAGGGCTGACTTATACA